TTTAGCTTCTCTGCTGGAGCCACAGCAGTGTTTCACACAGTGCCACTGCAAGCAGTCGTGCCTCTTTCTGTGGTAGTGGGGGGCGATAGTGTTGATGGGTTTGCTAGGTGGCAGATTTCCAGTGGGGCACTTGAAAGTTGCTACCCAAGGGCAGTGGCGTTCTAGAGTCTGTAGGGGACCTAGGCAAACATAATTTTGGGGCCCCTCCAACCAGCATTCATCACGATCATGTCTGCCAGTGTCCCGATGCTAACTCTTCTTGGCCTTTTTTTCTTGTTTAATTTTTTCTCTGCTGTAGACGGATAATTCCTCTACATCATCATAAAGTTGAATTTCAGTGACAGACGTTGGTTTTCACAGCAATAATGCATGCAACATGTAGCAGGGCAACAAGAGTCAGTGCTGTCACACGGGGCCCCCTTTAGGAGGTTTTCTACTGTCACTGCAAAATTGATGCTGTTGGTTTAATGTTTTTTAAGCCCTCAGGCGCCCCCTACTGGTCTGAGGCCCCAAGCAGTTGCCTGTCTTGCCTGTTGACAAGCAGCACCTCTGCTCAAGGGGCATGTTGTGTTGTTAATTTGTACCTGGATGCAGCCAAATCAAAACGTGCCCTCCTGTTAACCTGGACGAAATAAAAACATGTTGATTGTCCTCTGAAGCCTGAGGGGGAACCAGGCAGTGTTTATATGATTTCATCTGTTTATTCTCCTCTGAATGAGGAAACAACCCATTAACAGTCCTGATGGAGAACAGCAGACAAACAGAATAGATTTTAATTAAAGTGTCTAAAAAAAAAGGATCATGCTTTCCTCTTGTTTGTGTTTTTCTTCTCAGACTCAAAGCAAGACAATTCAAACGTATTAGTTTCTCTTCAAAAGCTTTAAAAGCTTTACATGAGTCTTATTTACACATGCACCCTATGTTTAGATCTTTACCTGCTGGCCCCCTTTAGTAAAATCTCTGTGGATGTGTGAAAACAGAAGGTAATATTGAGGTGCATGTGTGAACAAGCAACTCCGCAAGATTTTAGGTCAGGATGCCTGAAATTTTTCTGGAAATTTTCAGGAGTGCTTGTGAGACAATGGCTACTGAGTGTTTGCGCTCAGTAATAATACAGTGTAAATATACAGAATATAAATAAACAGTGTATATACAATCTACATAGTGCCAGCTGAAGTTCATTCTGTTTGGCCTTCATCAATGATAGTTCAATCAGTACAAAAACTAAGGTGTGATAAAAGTACTTAGCCTGTGTTAAGCTAAGCTAAGCTAACCGGCTGCTTTGTGTTGCCCTGTGTTAGACGTAGAAACAAAAAGAAATGAGCAAGAAAATGCTTAGAAAGTTTTGGTTCAGTGTATGAGAGCATTTTAAAAATGCTGACAGATTTGTTCACTTCTGCCTCAGGCTGGCCTTCTTGCTTTCCTCCCTTCCTGAAAGATAAACTAATGAATGTATTAAATGTCAGACATTTGATCTCTGGAGGGTTAATTGATTTCAGGATCAATGCAGTGCCAACGGGTGTTAAAGCTGTCAGACTTACAGCCGGTCGACCTTTTAACCACGAGGGCATTTGTTTGTCAGACATTTATCCACAGATCTGGGATGAAGTCGAAGAAGTTGTACGATGAGATTTGATATTTAGAGTTTCCAATCGATGATGGAAAAAAATACTCCATTACAAGTAAAACACCTGAATTACCACTATTTCTTTATCACAAACATTTCCTTTAGGCATCAAAAGTAGAGTCCTCAGTCTTGCAGTAGTACTGTATGTCTTCAATGATCTATGGTTTGTTTAGACTGATAGATCAATATCAGAGCAACACTTTAGCTGTTGCAGGTGAAGCTTGAGTGTCCTCTTAAGGCCGGCTCCGAAAGCCAATTTGACTATCGCTCTATTGATACAGTTATTTCTTGAACATGCAATATTTGTTTTAGCTTTTTTTTGTGCTAGTTCACATTAAAGACAAAAAAAATAAGGTAACAAGCAGAGAGCTCAATAAATAGATCTTCCCTTTATGTTCTCCCTCATCAGTGTTTATGTAGAAATGCATAAAAAAAGCTAAAGATTAAAGAGCCTCTCAGAAACATGATGGTTAATAAATCATTGTTTTATATGAGCTATGGTTTCAGATTTAACTCACCTCTAATCTCTCTTGAATATGAAGACATTCTGCACTCGTGTTGTTGTTGTTTTTCTCCTGCAGGATCCAGTTGATGTTTTACAGATTGTTTTTTATTCTGATGAAGACAGCAGGATGAACGTGGGCTGTTTTTTGACCTTTGTGACGCAGTGGGAGTCAATCCCTGAGGTACTGTACCCCTCCCACTACACACACACACACACACACACACACACACACACACACACACACACACACACACACTCTTTATATATTCAAAGATTGTAATGTGAAAGCTGTAGTGTGATAATCTGGCTCCAGGTTGAATAATTAGATGTGGAAATTGATATTTATTTCAAACGAGTTTACTGGATTTTCTTTGAGAATATTTGAGGGGTGCTGGTTTAGCTCAATCAGTGGAGCAGGTATGGAGCTATTATTGTAGCATAACGATGCGTACACAGATCTACAAATGCGTATGCAGATCTACAAATACACTGAACAAAAATATACACCCAACACTTTAGTTTTTGCTCCAATTTTCTATTTAATCTTTGAGTAGAAATCAAAGATGTAAGACGTTTTCTTTGCACACAAAAGGTCTCTTTCTCTGAGTTTTTTTTCATACATTTTTTTTTTAAATCTGTGCCAGTATGCACCGCTCCTTTGATGAGATACTGATGCTGATTAAACAGCATGATTATTGCACAGGTGTGCCTTAGGCTGGTCACGATAAAATGCCTCTCTTCACGGGGACAGACCAGAAAAAGCTATCATTTGTAGATTTTCAAAATCTAAAAACTGCATGCTGTTGATATGCAAACTTGAGACCTGTTAATTGCTAGTGATTCAGTAACGTGAAAAAGACAGTAACTTACTTTTTCAGAGTCATAAAGAAGGTCAGACTGAAGCCACTGTTTGACTTACTATTTAGAGTTCATTGGAGGCTCACCAGAAACAGATGAATGGGTGTTGAAACGATGAATTTAGCGTAGCTTTGATCTAAACACAGAGTTTCTAATTTGACTCTGAATAATGTCAAGTTATTTATGAGTTTATTGCTTTACCAAGGAAGTCGAAGCTGGAAGTATACCTTTTCAAACTTCAGGCTTCACTGGAATTTTCTGAAAAAGCACGCACTCGCTCCAGGGGGGACATACATCATCAGAAACACTGAAACATGTGTCTGCTTTTGGCTGTGAACTAGACAACAGAAGTTGCTCTTTTGACATCTCTCCGTCAGATTAGCTGCTCCTGGAGTGCCTGTTGCCACGGTAACCTCAGGTGTAACCGAACCGAAGAGAGACATATGAAAGTCAAGACAGAATAGAATTAGATTAAATGTTGGAGGTGTGAAATAAGAGCTACTCGAGTAGATTCAGTCTCTACTTCAGAGGAGTCAACTTCATTTATCTTTTTCTAGAAGTTCTCTCACACCAACACACACAGTAGGTCGGTATTTATATAACGGAAAAGTGAGTACGACCACTATCTGTATGGATCATGGATTCAAGTTGGACAAAATTATAACAACAGAAGAATCATATGAAAATACATTTGAATCATCAATCAATCAATAATTAATCGTTGATTAATAGGTTGGTAGTGTTTTTCCTCTTTGTCACGGCAAGCCATGAAATATTGCTGGCCACCCAAGTGACCCCCCCCTCCAGATCTGATAGGTCAAGTGTTATTTAATTGAAACTCCAACATTGAAGTGTCATCGAACGCATCTGCTTTTTACAAGTGTGTGTCATTAAAAGCAGCATGAGATGGTGCACTGCCCACTTCAGACATCGAATCATCTTAATAATCTAGATAAGGTGGAATTTGTCACCCAGGTAACCAGGAAACTTAAAAAGACGCTTCATGGATGGTAATAACAGCGTCAGATATCCCATTGGTGATTACACATAAAATAGATATTTGCTTAAAAGGATGATAACCTCTTAGGGTGCGAGTATATATGTCCTTTTTGTGATGTTTTTCAAAACTCATTCCCATGTGGCCAACATATTTTGTTCTTTACAATCAATGTTCTTTATTGTGGTTGTAGCCTGCCCTGCTTGTCGTCTTTAGGAAGAGGACATCTGTCGTCTAAAACAGTTTTCAACCACAGGGGATGAATAATAGAATCATTTCTATTAGCGGAGGTCAAATTGTGACGCTCTGCTGAGGTGACCATGAGTCAGAGAGGGAATCATCTATTGTTCTGTCGCCACACCGTGGACTCGATCAATACACCTCAGAGGAAAAGCCGGAAAGAAGCGTCTGTTTTTATGAGCCCCAGGGCAGCAATCAGCTGATCGGCAACAGGAGATATATCAGTCGGCAGGCTGTAAAACACTGTAACACACACTCAGACACACACACGCGCGTAAAAAAAAAATCTAATTAAAATGTCTCCTCTTATTTATCACAGAGGCGAAAGACAATTAGAGCCACAGAGTCTTAATGTCATGAACTTTTATGTTTTTACGAGGTCTTTAACGGGTTTTATTACATTTTCCAGAACCAAAGGTGGAACAGAATTAAAAAGGATGGGACACAAAGACATTGGACGAGGACCTGAGCTCACAGTTTGAAATTTGTCCGATTTTAAGGATCCATCCTCCTTATATTCGTATATCATCTGCTGTTAATCCCGGGACAAGCTAAGTGGTCCCGACGTACGTCTACCTCAAAATTGTTTTCTACCCGACCCTCCCAGGCCAGAAAAGGTGCATAATCTCTCTGTCTGTCTAACCTTGCGTTTGTATGCGTCCCTTTAATGGAGGAGCTCTTAGGTCTCCTTGATGTACGGGCTTTGCAGTAGTTAGCGGTGAAGGACTTTTGGCACCAAGTGAAGGAGTTTAAGGATCTCGAGTCAGGGTAGGATGGACCATGAGATTGACAGACGGATTGTCTCAGTGTCAGCAGTTAATGCGGGTGTTGTGCCGGACCGTGAGAAGACGGAGCTGAATCTGAAGGCTCGATTTACCGCTCGATCTTCGGTACAACTCTCAATTATGCTCATGAACTATGGGAATTGACGGAAAGAATGAGCTCGTGTATACAAGCGCCCGTAATGAGTTTCCTTCGGTGGGCACATTGTAACGGTTTGTCAAGAAACTTAAAACCCGCATCAGCTCCAGCTCTCAGCCTGTTGTGAAGTTGACTGTAAGAGTTAGGTTGAGACAGCATTGTCAGCATGGCGGCCATTAATCGATGGGATTCCAGAGCCCCCTGCAGGAACAGATGGGTGACGTCACTCAGGCTTCCCCCACTAAGAGCCTATTTATAGTCTACGGTGTGAACCCATTCCCCGAATATGATCAAAACTGGGACAATGCTCATAACTTGAAACACACTCATTTTCTATTAAAGTCGTTTTTCATTTTTATTAATATTACATTTTAACCTGTAACTGTAATTTTTTTTAATTGTTGTTTTCTATGCACACACTTGCTCCTTCTCTCTCTCTCTCTCTCTCTCTCTCTCACACACACACACACACACGCACACACGCACACACACACACACACACACACACACACACAGAGTAGGATAGTGTGTGTGTTCAGTCTGTTACCAGGTTACAGACTGAGACGATCTGCGCTCAGTTCAGCTCTGATGCTGCGGAGTGTCACAGACTCTCTCTCGGTGCAGCTTGCAGCGTGCAGGCTCTGAGTGTTCTCTCTGCGCATGTTTCAGAGCTACATCCCGGGATCAGACGGAGGGAAACTGTTGGAGAACATACAAGAGGAGCAGAGGATGAGATACAACTCGTTCTGACCAGGGAATTAATCCGATCACCTCGCGCTGTTTCCTCGTTTATATCCTGAATCACCGGAACACAGCGGGGTGTAGAGTTTCACATTACAGGTGAGTTTCATCATCATAATTTTTTTCTTTTTCTTTTTGACACGAGGCTCAGGTACGTTAATAACCTATAAAACCAGGTGGACGTTCAAATAAATGTCACACAGCCTATCATGTGTCAGTGACTGCTCTGAAGTCAAACATCAAACCAGGACCAGCAGAATAAATACTCTGAACTACTGCGGAGGGCTTGCAGACATCGTTTCTGTTTCATTGTAAGAATCAAGTTTAAAGGCATGTTTACCTGCAATGGTAAAGTGCACATTATTGCAGAATCATCATGTAGGCTATTGCATTTCACAAATTAAAAATAAAACATCTACATTATTAAACTAGCTCCCGTTTCCCCTCCTAACAAATAGAAATTAACAATTTGCGGTCTTAATTTGCTTCTTTTGTTGAATTTTAGTCTCTTTTTTTTTTTTTGGTTTGTGGTCTGGGTAATATTTCATCTCTTTAAGATCGTTTTGTGACTCAGTAGTTGTTTGTGTCTCTTGTAGTTTTATTTATGTGGCTGTTTGAATCTTTTTTGTCTATAAAGTTATTTTTGCTTCTCATTATTTTTGTTTAACGCTTGAGTCTCTTACTGTTCCTTTTTTGGCTTTGAGTGTCTCGTTGGTCTATTTTGTCTGTTTGAGGTTGTTTTGCATCTCTGTGTTTTTTTTGTCTCTTGTTTGAAGGTCTGTGTGTCTGATTTTGTTGCGTCTCTTGGCTTAGCTAGAGGTTGGCTTTAGTCTTTTACACCTCTGTGGTTGTTTGGTGATGCATCGAGTGTTTAGTGTCTTTGTGGTTCGTCTCATAATCTTGTGTCTGTTTGTGGTCCGATGTGTCCTTGGGCAAGACACTTAACCCCAAGTTGCTCCCGCTGCTTTGTCATTGCCGGTGGTGTGTGAATGGAATTAGTTACCTCTGATGGTCACTTTACAAAGCAGCCTCTACCATCAGTGTGTGAATGTGTAGATGTGACCTGCGGTGTAAAAAGAGCTTTGAGTAGTCAGAAGACTAGAAAGTACATTTACCATTAACCATTAACACACGTCGGCCTGAAATACACACATGAACAAACAGGACCGGTGGACATGCATTAGTGGAGAGATGTCAGAGTGGGGCTGCTACACACTGCCACGTAGGAAGCACACCGGAGCAGTTGGGGGTTTGGTGCCTTGCTCAAAGGCACCTTGGCAGTACTTGGGAAGTGGACTGGCACCTCTCCAACTATCAGACCAAGTTCCGGCGACTCCTCCGGTTCCCAACTCAAGACCCTACAGACTAAGCTACTGCAGCCCAAATGTATGCGGTATCTCATGTTGGTAGTTTTGTGTCTTTGAGGCTGATTTGTATCTCCTGTTTGTAGTTTTGTAGTTTTTTTGTGTTGTCTATGTCTTTGTTTCAGTCCATTTTAAGTCTTACTTATCTCTATTCGTCTCTTTTAAAGTGTATTTTTCCAACACAACTTATAGTATGTTCTTAATTGTCACCTCATGAATCAAATCAGCCAATAAACAAAGTTAAATCGATCAATTGGGACTAGCACGTTGTCCTTTTTGGTGACTTAAAACTGATGTTTGTTGTATAACAGACACTGAAACATTCATTGTATGTAGCAGCAGGCAGGTTTGTGTTCTGCATCAACATGCTGTATTATAATGAATTCGTCCTTGATCATCCCACCTGGTACTGTGAGCACCGGTCACATGGTCTACACTCGATCCACCTCATGAAGAAATCAAACTGTTCATGTAAAAATGCTCCCGGGTGTGTTTGAGGGCCGATGACATTCCAAGACGAAGATCTGTTCTGTTTTTAATTCAGAGAAAACATCATCACACTTGTGTTAATGTGTAAAAATGATGCCCTCTAACAACTTTATGCTGCATTTAATCTGGTTTTTTGTTTTGTTTTATAATCTCGAATGGAGAAAAAGCGTGTTAAAAATGTGATAAAAGGCTAAATACCCGGACATAATCTGATGTTTGATCCTGGAGGATGAAATAAGCCTGATGTATTCATGCGCTAAAAGCAATTAAGCCATCATCTGTCCATCCACAGAGTGAATCTGACAAACACACACACACACACATGCATACACCGCGGGCAGATTTGAGTCAGCTCAGCATCATTTTAGGCAAAAATTTCCTTAATTCGGAAGTCAAAAAGGCAGAAAGGCCGTTAAATCTTGTAGCCCACAGCCTTTCACGAGCAAATCAATATTCATTTGTTATTGTAGCTTCCACAGGTTGGAGACACTTTGTGCACCGTGCAGCAGTAACAGTATAGAAACGTCACAAGAGGTTCCTGTGTGATAAGCTTGTGTCCCCACTGTGCTCCTGAAAAAAAATAGCGGGCTGTTGTTGCCGTGATGTTTTTCCTTTGTTCAGTCCATCAGGTTGTCATGCTCACACACAGGATCAGTGAGACGGCAAAAGGTCAGAAAGCTTCAAGCTAAGGTCACAATAATCTCCTCCCGTATAACTCTCTTAAGTTTATTAGTCTGACTCGCTGAACCCAGAGGAGGAACCGCCAGGGACCTCAGAATTAACTAATTGATTTGGATTTTAACATGTACGTAAAGGTAATTTAAAAGGTGCCTGACTATCATGTAAAGCAGATTGATTTAAAAAGTGTGGTTTGAAAATGTACATCTCTAAAATGGGATCAGTGGGTATTCCCTGAAAACCCATCAGAACCATCTTATAGCTACTGCAGAGGTTTGGGACCTGTAGTTTTAATACCTCCATACCTGCTGCAAAGGTCAATAACTAGGAGTCGGAGCTACACATATACTGCTGTGTGTATTGATCTGAGTTTAATTCATTCTCTAATCCTACAGCTCTCCCCGCAGAATGAAAAGGTTAAATCAAACTTCTTTATAGAAGAAAAACAGAAATGTACACGAACATCACACACACATTCTTAAAGCCTCTGATATTTGTCCTGAATGTTTGATGTCTCATTAAACAGCCACACATATTAGATTGAAAATTAACGCCATCACAATCAGTATATTTTGTTCAAAACTGCTAATTTTGTCATAAACATTGTTTCTATAGAGCCCGACCTATTAATCGTCTGGCCAATAATGTCAGCCGATGTTAGCTTATCAAGTGATTATCGGTATCGGCTCATTTTTAGCGCAGATATGCGCCGATATTACTCGATTTATTCACCAGCCAAATATCATTTAAATTCCGTATCATGCATTAGCAGTCTTCTTTCACCAGCAGAGGGCGCTGTATGGAATATCAATGCAATAAATGTGTGTATATCTATATCTGTCTATCTATCTCTACATATAGAACACAGATCTAAGAAAGACATCAGCCAATATATCGATTAGATTTGTTTTTCTCCCCAATATCATTATCGGTTTTTCGCCCCCAAAATTCTGTATCTGCATTGTTTCTAAATACAGAGATAGCGTGACCAACCGGTTATGAATTGTCAGCTCACTCATTCATTTTATCCTTTTGTCAATCAGTGCAGTCCATCTTATAAAAAAAAAAACTGCAGTGAGGAACTTTTAGTTTGTTGATTTTGGCGCCCCCCATGTGGACAAAGTGGTACTTCTAATCTGTGGCTGATTTTGCCCTCTAAATGCATAAGAGGTGTTGTCTGACAAAAGTGTTCCTCCTTTTTTTTTTAAACAGTCAATCACATGAGTCACTGTGAAACTTTGATGCAGAAGATGTTAGAAAAAAAAGGTTGTTAATCACTTGGTTTGACATCTCCTCCGCATGGCAGCAGTTAAAATCACAATGTAGAAATAGTCATTCTTGTCTTGTTTACTTTTGAGGGTCATAAAGAGAAACCGGGATTCAATTCCTCACAGGAGCTTTAATGGGTCCTCTGTTTAATCTCTTACATTTTCTATTTTATTCTTCAATCTAATTCTCAAGTTTTCAGTTCCTGCTGAAAAAACATAATTAAGAGGATTACACACTTTAATTACTCCACACGCTCATAACTTCACTGGCACTTTGTGTCTGTCTCTTTAAAGCTGTTTCAAACCGAGTTAATCTTTCAAAATCCAATTTTGTCTCTCTTTGTCTTTTATAGTTTGATTTTCTCAGAACAATTTGACTGTTCATCCCCCACAGTCAGGCTCAGAGAAACATTTTTCACAAGGTCATCTGAACCTTCTTCAGTAATTACAGTCTTGTCAAAGATGTATGTCTTATATGTTTCCCCTAACAGAAGCCCTGAGCAGACTGGATCCTTACATTTTATCTACATTATCCCAGAATAAAGACTTTTTGGTGGTTTCCCTGATATCTCAAAAATGTTTTCTCTTTTTTTAATGTTACTGGTTTTGGTGATAAAATAAATGTATCTTATTATCTCGAGATAAGGAGTCTTTTTTTCTCTCCTGATAACGGGATAATTAGCTCGTAAACAAGAAAATAAAACAATAGTCTGATCACTTAGATAGGCCAGAGCACGACATGCCATTCTGCCAATGGCTAATGAGGTGAGTCTATCCCCATTCATTGAGTCTAAGCTCATCATATGAAATGTGCTATTTAAAGAAACTTGACTATTCAGGCTGTAAGTGATGTCTTGCCTCCACCCTGACACTCTGATTGGTTAGATGCATGTTATGCACAAAACACACCGATGAGTAATCAAGCATCTTAATCCAACGTCTTTGCGTCCTGCGTTTATAAGCGCCCAGATCGTGTGCAGCAATTAACTCGCAACATTTGATTGTACAATCTCCACTTCACTTTGCACAACAGACTTTTGACTCTTGACGATCCTGCAGTGTGAGCCAGGCTTTAGAGAGAAATCTGTTCTCACATTCTTGCAGTTTTATTTGGTTCCATTTGATTTACGACACTGATCTCTTCTTCTTTCTCCCTCTGGTTGCCATGGTGATCTGAATTGCCAAATGCAATGTGAAACCTCCGTAATCACGAGGAATTGTAGATATTGGAAAAAGATAAATGTGACAGTCGGTGTGCCGAAAGTTGGAGAAACCTCTCTGGTCTCTTGTTTTGCTGCTTCGGGGTTGTTTTTCTCCGTTTGTTGCTTTCCGTGTGTCTTCAAATTGAACTCCAGTCAGACAGAAAAAGTGGATGGCTATTTACAGACCCTGTCACCGCAGTGGGAACAATAAGCTTTCACAGGGTTCGTTTGATGAACTCCATCAGGGAGCTCAGGGCACATCTGTGGTTTCCTCTCTATACTGATTTTCTAAAAGCATCATCCAAAAAAAGAAAATCTCATTTGATTGAAGGAGATGTGGAAAAAAAAAAACAATTCTGATATGACTTCCCTCTGAAACAGTGTGTGTGATGCTCCTATAGTGCTCTAAGAATGAATCCTGTTTCATGTAGCTAATAAAAAGGGAAATGACCTCTTACATCTAACGCAGTGGTGGGCAACTGGCGGCCCATGGGCCACATGCGGCCCCCATCAACCATCAACGTGGCCCTTAGGTTAATTTTTTACACATCAATTAATTGGAAACATGAAGAAAACATGATAAAAATCTGCCATGAAATCATGAAACTCATCATGATCACTGGTACATGCTGAGTTAATTTGAGACATAATCGACTGTAATCATTTAATTTGGCCCTCTGGCAGTGAGAATTAAATGAATGTGGCCCTTGCTGTCACCAAAGTTGCCCACCGCTGCGCTAAGGTCATCTTACATCTATCTGAAGTTTTGTGGATGTTCCCATCTTGTATTGTTTTAAGGAATGACTGCATGTACACCACCGGTGATAGAATATCAACATTTAGCTATTTAACTATTTAATCAAATGCAGTCGTTCTGTTTCTTGCAAAGGTTTGGATGAGAAGATTGTCAGCTCACTCATGTCAGCTAAATATGAAGCGCAAACTAGCTTAGCATAGAAAGACTAGAAGCAGGAGGAAATAGCTAACTTTGCAAAGATGGACGGATTAATCAAACAAGATTTAACGCCCTACACCCTGCACAGAGCATCTTGGCAGGCAGCGATTACAATTTTTAACCAGACACCGTCGGGATTTTTACGCAAAGTGCTGACGTTTTTTTGCATTATAAGTACACACAACTATAGCTGATGTTAACATTTTGAAGGTAATGAATTTAGCCTCTTTGGTCCATGAATGTTTGTACAGATTTTATGAACTGAAGCAGCTGTTGGGATACGAGAGTCTTAATCGAAGTGAAACAGTTATCATTTCTTATAACACATTGCTAGCATGCCTCGTATCAGCTCGTGTTGCTAAAATTAGCTTCAAGAAAAGTGATAAGTGTGAAGTTGCCAATTGTTGTTTAGCTTGAGTAGTTTGAGACTATTTTCCAAGTGTGAGACCTCGCACACTCTCGCCTCCTCTGTGTCGCACTTCATGTCCACCAGTGTGCCGCTGGGCTGCTAATGAAATGTAATGTATCACCATCGATCATGTGTGGGGAAGCAATCTGTTTTAATTTATAAAGCTGCTGTGGTCAAATCAATCAAACAACTTGAACCGTCTATTTTCACCACTTTATCTTTTCTTCTGTATTTTCCTCCTTAACTTGTCCTCTCAGTCTTTACCAGCCTCATGGATCTTCTTGCTAAATGTGTTGATGTTACCAGGATCAGACATTTGTTTTGTGCTCAGTCTTTTAATATTGCAAAGAACCAAAAGTGACGCACGAAATAAGCTTTTTCAAAATACCACATGAGACTTATACAAACATAACCAATGGTTCTTGTCTACACGTCACCGCATTTATCCACCAACATGAAATGCTTATCACAAAATTAACAAATTACTGAATCATTGCCAGTGTTGGACGCATCATTACTTTCAAAAACACTGGTATAATGGCAGATCTTATCAAATGAATAAAGAGGCTAATCTAATTTCGTCCCAAACTCCTTTTAATCTTTTATCTTACCATGACAACATGCCTGCTGATGGTTATCACAGCTGAATTGTTCAACACACAGTTTTTTCTAAAAGACGTCAGCAGCACTAAAAACTGCTTAAAGTGTCAGTAACGATCTCAGACCTTCCTTCTGTCCTTGGGTAACAAATGTGTGTTTTCATTTCATTCCTTTTCAGTCTTTTCTGAGATGAAAAACATAGAAAATATTGAATCTTCATTCAGATTACTGATTGTTTTTGTCCCCCCTATAACAGAACAGATGGGCTGGAGCTGAGGGGGCAGGAGGACAAAGTGTCAGGCAGCGCTACATCGGTGGGTGTCTCCTCACCTCCAGGGCTGGAGATGACGGATGGAACGTGGGTGAACGGCAGCCTGGCCGGCCCCTCGCAGGGCCACCCTCTGTTCCTGCTCATGTTCAACGACAGCGATCTGAACGAGACGCTGTTCAACATCACCAACTCCACCGTCCCCGACGTCTTCTCCGGGCCCAGCGTCGCGGGGGTCCTCATCCCACTCATCTACATCATCGTGTGCATCATCGGCCTCGGAGGAAACACTTTAGTGATTCACATCGTCCTGCACTACTCCAAGATCGAGTCCGTGACCAACATCTACATCCTGAACTTGGCCATAGCCGACGAGCTCTTCATGCTCGGCCTGCCCTTCCTGGCCGTGCAGAACACGCTCCAGTCGTGGCCGTTCGGCTCCTTCATGTGCCGCCTCGTCATGACCGTCGACTCCATCAACCAGTTCACCAGCATCTTCTGCCTCACCGTGATGAGCATCGACCGCTACCTCGCCGTGGTCCATCCCATCCGCTCGTCAAAGTGGCGACACCCTCAGGTGGCCAAAGTGGTGAACACCACCGTGTGGGCTCTGTCGTTTCTCGTCGTTCTGCCCGTCGTCATCTTCGCCAACATCCAGAAGGCCGGCGGCACCTGCAACATCGCCTGGCCTCAACCCGCCGACATATGGCGGGCGGCCTTCATCATCTACACGTCCACAGTCGGGTTCTTCTGCCCCCTCCTCATCATCTGCCTCTGCTACCTGCTCATCGTCTTCAAGATCCGCAGCTCGGGGAAGAAAGTCCACGCCACCTCGACCAAGCGGAGGAAGTCCGAGAGGAAGGTCACGCGCATGGTGGTGATTGTGGTTGCCGTGTTTGTGTTTTGCTGGCTGCCCTTCTACGCCCTCAACATCCTGAACCTGCTGGTTTCCCTGCCGTCTGAGTACCAGGGGCTTTATTACTTCGTCGTAGTGCTCGGCTACGCTAACAGCTGCGCTAACCCCATCGTCTACTGCTTCCTGTCGGACAACTTTAAGAGGGGCTTCCGGAAAGCTCTCTGCCGCTCCTCGAGGAAGGTGGAGAACCACGAGCCCATGGAGCGGCAGCAGCAGCAGCAGCAGCAGCAGCATCAGCGGGAGGAGGGGCGGACGGCGCTCATGCCCCGGGAGAGCCTGAGACGGGCCGTGCGGGACGAAGACGACGATGAGGACGTCTCAGAAATGACTGAGATCTACCGCATCGCTCAAAACGGAAACAGCAGCTTGCAGCGGCAAAGCTCCCAGCAGCAAGAGGCAACGCCGGGAGCGACAGAACCATCGACCCCGGAGAAGAGGGACACGGCCGGGACCCTGAGGGGGACGGACACAGTTAACGGGTCCTCACTGAGCGTCCCTCTGCTGCTTAACGGGACAAAGAACGGGAGCATTAAAACTCTACCAGAGGAAAACCAGGACCAGAGCAGCTCACTGGAGATCAGTTACTTATAGTTTAAAGCAACTGAACAGTTACACAGCAGGCTGCCTTCAAGAAAACACAACAATCAGCTGTTTGTAATGAAGCATACATCAGAACACATGAAGAAACACTTTAATGAAACTAAAAGAGGCCTTAGGATCATTTTTCTTACGAGGACACAATTGAAGTTTCAGCCTCATACAGAATGTATTATTGTTTATTCTTTGTACATATGCATGGATGAATGTAAAGTTGTGCCTTTCCTAAGTTTTACTGTCTGTTCCTTGATGATCCTCGTACTTGTAGCCTTTTTATTACACATTACTGAACATTCCCAGTGCGCATTGTTCTGTTGAAGATGTTCACACCTGGTTAAAAAGTGCAAATCTGTATCACCAGCTATTTTAAAAATGTTGATTAAACAACCATGTTTAGACCAGATTTCACTAGACAAAAGACTGGTCAAACATTCACACATATTACATCCCAAACCAGATATTGCTGCTTTAACAACCGCATTACTGAGCAGTGAATCACATCAACAAAAACCATGAACAAAATCTAGTGGAGTTGACTTTGATATAAAATGATAAGATTAAATATTAACCACCTTTGGCCATAGAATTCTTTCAAATCATCTCTCCCGTCAGGTATCAATAAATCATGTCAGCACTCTGCGGGGGGGTCTTTCTGCCTCGTAGTCAGAGCTGCACAGCCAAAGTACCTGAACACACACACGTCTTGTTTCTTCTTCTGTTTAAAATGTGTTAAACTGCTCTCTCTCTCAAAAGCCTCTGAACCGTTCTGGACCGTCTTGTAAATAGCACACAGGCAATAAAAGAGGACGCATGTATGATTTTTCTTTGAAGAATAAAACTTGTTTAAATTACATCTTTGAGAAAACTGGATTTCACACTTAAAAATGATCTCCAGGAGTTGCCCCTACAATCATCATATTTTGTCCTCCTTGTTACTGTAAAAGAAAATGTATAGTTTTATTTAACAAAATTGTATTTTGTCACATGTTGATGTTATAACCATATTTAAGTAGGTCAAAACGTTTGTTGGAAAGATGTCATGGATGGACTGACCTGATTTAACTTTTTTTTCTTTTTTTAAACCATATTTCAACCTAAATAACAATTAGTCCCCACTGGGTTTAAACCATCTACAGATTAGCTAAAGTTGTACATCAAAGCCATTGCTATAACCTTAAGGTTTTACTGTCCTACTTTCATTTTTAATGCTTTAAAAATAGACTGTATAAATATTGGATGAAGCCCCCATGGTGATCTGTTAGTAAAGTAAACCACACAGCAAGATAAGCTACATAATTTATCTGATGTCTCCAAAAGGCTCAACACCTCAAACAGCAGAGTTTAAATTCATAGACTGATTTAGCAGAGTTGACACATAGCAGACAGCCAGGATTTCCCACCTGTCACTCAAATAAGCCACGCCCCTAATTATGAATAACTTGAATCCTTAATTTAATTAAAACAAGTTTTCTCTATAAAAAAATAAATGTCATCCCCACACAGTCTTCATGATATAAAAATTACAGAGAACCCTGATTTGTTTTGGTGTTTATTTCTGCTGTAAAGTTGGACATTTTTACATAGCGCTCTGTGGGGTTTGACTCACTTTTGTAAGGCAGCCCCAAGTGGACACTCAAGGAACTGCAGGGTTGCTTCTTTGGATATTTTTGGTTGTTAAACAAAGGGTGAAAAAATGCAAACTTCCTTCACTTCAAGAAGTCTTACGCACAAAAAAATAAGTTTCTAAGTGTAGGCTGTATTATAGAACATTTTGGAGTGTCAATGATTAATTTATTTTTTATTTCAGATCAAATTAGTTTTTTTTCAATTTCCTTGTTTACAATTTCTTAAATGTACGCGCTGCTGCAGAATCCATTTTGTGCAGTTGTACACATGTAAATAATTGTGTTTGTAGCTGTAGTATAAACATGATTTCTAAGAAACCAGGTCCAGATCCATGAAATGTCATATTTTTGTACATGTTACTTTATATAAATGGTTAACTTCAGACCAGGACATATGCAGGATTTATGTTTTTCTTTCTCCATAGAGCAGAAACAAATCATTTTTCTCTACACTATACCTTTTTTCTTTATTTAAAGCACCTATGAGGATTTTTGAACTGCTGATGAAACCGACTGAAATTAATACTGATGACACTTTATGACCAATAATGGCTTAAAAGACCATCAACATGACGATTGACTAGTTCATTATTAATGTCTAGAGAAGCTGCTGGGGGGGGGGAGAGAGAGAGAGACAGACAGAGCGAGTTAAGCCCCTTTTTGATCGAAAACTTCTCTTCAAGGAACCAAATGTTTCCTGTGGCCAATTGTCAGCATTTCCACCATGGTAAGAAGAAGAAGAAGACTACGCAGCAAAGATGATGCCATGAAAGGCGACTGATAGGTCAGCATCGTCATATGTGCAACACTAGTTAGCCTGCATGGAGGAGGTTCACCTTGAGCAGACTCTACACAATGATAGCCAAAGAACAGGAACTTCTTCACAGTGAGAATCCCACCCAAAGTTTAAAAATCCATTTAAAAATTAAAGGGGTTCCTCAAGTTTGACCTACACTGTGAGGGCCTGGCCAATCAGAGATGATCAACGCTGCAGGCCTAGAAGGTCCCTGGACCTTTGGAAAGTACTATCTCCTAAACAGGGTCTTTTTTTAGGTTTAGACCAATTACCCCAGAACTAACTTTAGACCCTGGTTCCTGTGGTCCAAATGTACATAGTTCCTCTAAAGGTCCCTTCTGTAGTTTTGCGGGGAAAGTTCCTGCAGTCGAAAGGGGTCTTTACAGAGCGATACCTTTTTTTAAAATTCTGCACAGCAAAGAGTCTCGACGAGTGATTAATTTGAAAATAAAAAAAGAAAGCAGGATGAGATTTTTGTTAAAAACACATCTTACTAATGCACAGGACAAGTTCCTATAGGAGCTTAAAGGTTGCTAAAGGAATACAGATGATTTTATGTATGAATGAGACATTGTCCAAGTTACACTCTGTTGGTGTGCATATTGAGTAGGACTGTGTTATTAAGAGAAATCTTTGCAGGAACAAAAATGTTGTTGTTTTTTTCACATTCAATAAGGCAACAACTCTCTCTCATTCATCAAAACTCACCTGAGCGCTGTTCATTCATGACACTAAACAAACATGCGGCCATAAACACCCTGGTTATGTTTATCCGTCTGTAAATACAGCTGAATGATGCTTCTGCTTGTTCCCTGTGTTAGCTCTGCTCTCAGCCTGTCTTCAGCCCACACACACACACACACACACACACACACACACACACACACACACACACACACACACACACACACTCTCTCTCTCGCTGCAGAGCTCCTCAGAGCAGCAGAAACCATCATTAAAGGCACATTACGAAGGGATTTGCGTGGCTCATATTCTCTTTGCGAGGCCCCCGAGGCAGCAGTCTGATGAGAGCTGAGATTTGTTGTTGTGTGTCCTAGAGTGCTTGTTTGCGCTTCCCTGTTTGTTTACGTGTGTGTGTGTGTGTGTGTGTTTGTCTATAAATAATGTTGGTGTGTGCTATGTGATGCAGACTCCCCGCAGTGATAGCCCACCTGAGAACAGAGGTGATGGTCAGCTGATGAGTCAGAGAGATTCTCTGCCCACAGACTGCAGTTAACTCTGACAGGCTGTTTTCACTTTGTGTGTCAGAACAAAAAAAAAAAGAGAAAAAAAACACGAACTGTGCAGGCGCTAAACGCAATGAGAGCAACACATCAAGGTTATTACAATATTTGATTATTTAATTATCTCAGAAAGCTTTTTCTGTTGCACGTTGACGCATGCAGAAGATGAAAATAGTCGCTTTGATGTTTGCTGAGTGTTTAAGACTTTGTGTTTTTTTTTTTTCAGGAATCCTCCCTGAATTTAGCTGCAGTGATTATTTTTCCAGCAGGAACATTTCCCCACGGTCCGTAAACCCTCATCACAACAGATTAACCTATAAAACCTTACATCTCTTCAAACTTAATAGTTTAAGATTCATTCAAACCACGAGGGAAATATGCATCATAATCCTGCTGGATGTCATTTGTGCACCTTATCTTTTGTTTTTATGTTTTGTTCTTGTTGGAGCGGTTGCAGAATCGAATATTTTGCGCCCTTACAAAAATGTTCTTTATCATGTTGTTTGGATTTCAAGAATGAAGAAATAAAAGATGTGTTTCAGTGAAATTATTGTTTTTTGTCTTGTTTCTCCTTTGTCAAAACAATCCATTAGTGTACACACTCAAATAAAGAGCTTTTTTTTTTTTACAGTTCTCTCTCTCTCTTCTTCCCACTCTTCCAAAAAAAAAACCACAAGCTTTGTGTTTTAAAAAAAAATCTTTTTAAAAACAACATTTAACATGTCACTGTTCAAGCTGGAAACTCCATAAATAACTTGACCACTGTGGACCTTTAAGCTATAGAGCTGATTCAACAACACTCCCATTGTTGCCTAGCAACAACACTGAAAATGTTTTCTGTGTAATTTCTCTAAGAACAGAGTAAGAGGAGTGTGTGTGGTGCACAATGGACTGTGTGTATTTTAAAAATGCATTAAGAGCATTGCTCCCCTCCCTCTCTTGTCATTCAAGTGTTCCTTAAAGGGGGGGGGTGTCTTTGATTGAACACAGGTACACACGCTTAGCTGAACAGCCAATCAGAGAGATTCCTACCCACTTTCATGGCGCTCATGGCGATTTAACATGTGGAATCAGCCAAAACAAGGCCAACTGGAACCGACGGGTAGCAACAGAGCTGGACTCACCGCAAAAAACTAGGGCGACGACCGCTCGCCGACGGACCGACAGCCGACTGAAGGCAATCAAAAAGGAAAGAAACCAGACGAAGGGAGGAGGTAAGAGAAGACAATAACCCTGGGGACAAGAACTACAAAGTGAAACAGGAAACACTAAAGACAAGAAATGCACACAGGGGAAATTTAGAAACATGAGGAAGGAAAAGACACCAAAAAACCCACAGGAAACCAAGAAACACAAGGATACAAATTACAAAATAAAACAGGAAAGACTAAAAGCTTAACCTATGGAATATGAAAAATACTCAGGAAACAGAAAAAACAGAGGATACAGATGACAAAATTAAACACTAAATCCCATTCAAGCAACAAAACCAAGGAATAAACTAACTAAACAAAGGTAAATCATAACACTGCACCCATAAATAAATGTGACTGTAGCTCATACTGAACTCTCCGTCTGTCTCTCTGTGTGTGAAGGACGACAGTTTGAAAGTGACTCACAGACCAGCTGCTCCTCATGACGCCTCTCTCTCAGTGGAATTTCTCCAGAGATCATTAAAGTAATACACAGTCACAGGGGGAGGAGTAAAGGTAACCATCTACGAAGCCATGGGCTATAGTCTTTTACCATAATGGTTGCCTCTGTGAAAACCAGATATACTTGAAAAAAGACAAGAAAAACACTCTGGTAGAAGTGTTAGTACTGCTGTGACTTGTTTACTGCTGTAAAGTTGTGCAGTCTCACAGTGTAGGACATTAAAGCAGCTGTTTCCATCATTCTCATTTGAAATCAAAGAATCGTAGAGTAAAATGAAGGTAAAAGATTTTCTTTGCGCCAATGTGTAAGTCAGTTGGATGGGGACCGTCTCTCTGCTCCAAATCTTTTGTTTGTGTAACAGGCCCCGTATGGAGGACTGTTGCCAGATCAGATCTGTCCTGTAAATAACAGGGAAATAATGAGACAAGCAACAGGTAGTGTGTTTCCTTTCCTCGCTTCTGCCAGTCTGAAGAGGAGGGCTACCGAGCCCACTAAGCTGTCTCACCTGGAGGTCACGCCCTCTTGTGGCACAATTTGGAACCACATTCTAAATGAGATTTTACCACAAAGTAACAGAACTAATGCTCCCAATTACATATTTACATGTTGAAATATACACAATACACAAAAATAAATCACATAATGTGATCACACATTTCTGTGTGTGGTCGCGTTTGTCCTCAGCCATGTTGAACTTTATCCATATGGATGAACTCTGGTTTTCCTGTGATAAGAAGTAAACATCAGCTGTTTTCTCAAGATCTCTTAAAATCAACTCATTATCAAGGGACAGCGAGCGTTGTTAACCCGTGATATTTGTTTTGGTGTTCAGTTTTGCATTTGGTGTTTTTCCCCTCGTCTTTCTGTCTCTCTCTGGCAGTCTGTGTGTGTGTTCAGAGGAGGGCTGAGCTGGGTCTCTCTAAGAAGGAGCAACTGGCTCTCATCATGTGATCACTCCTGCCATATAAAGCTGGTTAAGACACCAGATACCCCGCTGCAGTCTACAATTCTACAATTCACTTAGCAGATTCTTTTATCCAAAGCGACGTACATCAGAGAGTAAGAACAACACAAGCAAGGATCTAGAAAAAAAGGGAACAATGTCAGTCAGAGCAAACGATCAGCTTTGAGTCTGATTGGAGTGACCAGAGGCAAAGCACAACACTGAGGGCAGTTCTTGAGAGCTCTAATCAGTATAGAAACCATCTTATAAGTCGTCGTTATCAAACAAAAAGAGTGTAGACCTGGATGAGAGAGTTAAAGTCGACAGTCGACTAACCTTGTGCCTCACCACCCACCAGTGCTTCAGTTTGACCTCGCAGCCCATTCATCGGGTAGAGAACCTTGAATTTGGGTAAATGTACTTCATAACCTTCCACAGGTCAGTGATGGAGTTCATGATGGGAGGATGATGCAGATGTGACTCTTTATCATGCAGCAAGTGGGCAAAGGTGAAAGAAGTGTCTCCCTGATGGCCATCTATGTGTGGACTAATACGATTTCTGACCTTTAGTGTAGAAAAACATCTTTACAAGATCTAAGGATTTGTTAAGAGGAATCACACTTGAGGATGTGCGATGAGTGCGTGTTCAGACTGTGATTAATGCGTTCAGTAGTCGATCAGCGTGCGTGTGTCCCTGAGAGATCAAACAAGCTGATGGTGGTAATTCTTCTGTGATAATACACTGACACATGAGGCGAAGACTTCCTCATTTACACTTCTGAAGTAAGGAGCACACTCTGCATCATTTCTGAAGAACAGCATGAATAAGAGGTTAAGAAGCGCTGACTGATGATGACGGAGAACACAAATGAGAAAATGCAAAACAAAGATGAAAACACACTTCATAAAAAAAAACAAAAAAAACAAGCGGCAACCTCTGATGATTAAAATTGAAGCCAATGTGGAAGTGCAACATCCTGCAGTTTATCGAGCGTCCACTTGAGGCTGGCTGCAGAAGTACAGGAAGTCACATACACACCCATTCATAAAAAGCCTCTTTTAGAGCAGAAATTAACATGTTTACAGCCTGGTTCGGAAATCGGAAAAAGGTCGGATTAGTTCATTTCTTAATCGGCACACACTGTACAGGGGGTGTAAAAGTAACAGAGTTATAGTCTCAAATTTTATTAAAATAAATGTTGACCTGCAGTTTTCTGGGAGTTTATTCCAGCTATAAGGAGCATAGAAAATGAACGCTGCTTCTCTGAGTTTGCTTCTGACTCTGGGGACAGAAATCAGACCTGTCACAGACGACCTAAGTGGTCTGGATGTATCACAAAATATGCAGAAGGCGGTGGTTGTCTACGTGTACGCGAGGCTCAAAAGCAAGTATTTGAGGAATAAGGCCATTAGCTGGCAAGACTGACAGGCGAGTATGATGTAACGGTTTGTCAAAGGGCTTAAACACCGCCCCAGTTCCAGCTCTTAGCCTGTTATTAGGTTGACTGAAAGATAGGATGAGACAGCCTTTCCATCATGGCAACCGATATCGATGGGACTCCAAAGCCCCCTGCTGGAACAACTGGTCGACGTCACTCAGGCTTCGTCCATTAATATTTACAGTCGATGATAAAAACACACTGAGAGAGCAAATTTCTTTTAAGGCTGAGATAAGCAAACCTTTTAAAAGAAATTGATTTTCATCTTTCATTAAAAAAGGACACTCTGACACTTTGTAAGACTCTCACTGGGGAAGTATTTCCTGTCCCTTGCACATGCTGTTATCCCTCTTCATTCCTGTACCTGTCGACAGTGTGAATGATTACAGACCCGTTGCACTCGCCCCCATTGTGATGAAATGCTTTGTACTAAGGCACATCGGAGCTGGCCTCCATCCTACCTTTGACCCGTGTCAGTTTGCATACAGGTCAAAGGTCCTCAACGATTGCCATCATTATAGCTCGCCACACAGCATTCAATCACCTGGAACACTGAGGGAGCTACGTATGGCTTCTCTTTATCGATTATACCTCTGTGTTCAATACAATCCTCCCTGACATTCTGACCAGAAAACTCTTACCTGGGACTCCACACACACACACACACACACACACACACACACACACACACACACACACACACACACACACACACACACACACCTGCACCTGGATCAAAGGCCAGGTCGACCCCAAGCTCCAGCCCAGCCTCTTCTCACTCTACACTCATGACTGTAAACCCATCCACACCACATTCACAACATATGCCACTGAGGACACCACTGTGGTCGTCTCATTTCAGGACGAGGTGAATCTGCCTCCAGAGACGAGATTAAGAGGCTGTCGTCATGGTGCTCAGGAAACAACCTGATGCTGAACACCAAAAAATAAATAAAGAACTTATCACAGACTTCAGGAAGTGTAGAGCAGAGCCCCTCCCCATCTTAATAAATGGAGAATGTGTGGGAGAGAGAGTTCACAGCTTTAAATTCCTCAGACAATATATCCTGGCTCAACAACACCACGGCTGTGGTCAGAAAGCCACAGCAACCTCTGCACTTCCTGAAACGTCTCAGGTGAAATAATACTAATCAAAGGCTAGTGACCTTTTACCGCTCCACATTAGAGATTGTGCTGACATACTGCCTCTGTGTGGTATGCTGGCTGATCAAAAAAAAGCACTTTAGAGGGTAATCAATACAGCACAAAAACCATTGGCTGCTTTCTTCTCTTACTAACACCTGCTATCTCACAAGAGCAACAAGCATTGTTTAAGACAGCTCGCGGGGAGGACAGCTCCAGTTTGACACTCTGCCCTCAGGGAGGCGCTATAGGTCAATAAAGTCACAGACAGTCAGACTCTTTCACAGTTTTTTCCCCCGAAAGCAATTCACCTTCTTGATCAGCATTTAAAATGACCAAACCTG